AAAAGTAAATCAGAGACATATTTATAGTAATTATGCAGGCAAATTTGCCTGCAAATCTCTACCAATTAAGGGATAGGACTCAAAGCTTCATGAAAACATTTTTTTATGTAAGTTGCAGAATCTGAAACAATTACTTTAGGAAGAGTAAAGGAAATGTTCCATTCAGCTAAAAGTCGTAAAATAAGACCACCCATAGTTGAGTAATTTACAGTTTGCAAAAAATCGACAGACACAAGTTTTGTTATACCATAGTAAGAAAACAACATATTGACTACACTACGCCCTTTAACGTCCATTGTTTCATCAATAATGATTGCCACAGGTTTTTCACTAAAGATAGGACGTAAGCTTTCTAAGTGGTTTTCAAAAACCATTGGTAAGTATGACTGATATACAGTATTAGCCACAGGTATACAACCACCCTCCTTGCAATGTACATTCAAGAATCCACGAAACTTGTTTAGCTTCTCTAGTGGTATGTCAGCCTCAACCCAGGCTTCAACCAGATTACAAAGAAATTCTTTTTTTGTATCAGCCGCCATTAAAGTTGAAAGAAGACACAATTGTCAGGTTTGGTTTGAGGATTTCAAGTAAGCTTCTTGTTTTTTTTTGTGGGTTTTGGAATTTATGTGTGAAGAAATAGAAGCCTTATTTTCATAACTAACACTGTGATTACAAAAGCGGCATATAAACTTCCCAGAATCAAACATAAAGTGTTTTGGAAACTCTTGTGCACGGCTGTAGGCGCTTGTTTTTTTAGAAGAACTTATTTTTGGTAGTTTTTTTTTTTTTTTATTTGTGTATATTCAAAAACACAACTTTCAAATACATGTTAAAAGGACAAAAAGAACAACTACGTATATTCAAAAGAACAATTTTGACTTATGCATGTTCAAAGAACAAACTGTTGAATAATTTATACTAGACTCACATATAACATTACGCATACTCTAATTGGTTAAACCTAATAGCCAGATTGCATAAATTCAAAAACAACTATAATTTGGGTATAATTTGGATATTAATGGGCCAAAATTTGAAAAATTTTGGATTAAGTACCAAAATTTTGAAATTTTGAAATCGGAAGTCAAAATTTGGAAAAATTTGGAAAAATTTGTTTCCAAATTTTTCCACATTCCTGCCTAGTACCCGCATTTGGAACCGTCTCCTTACCCGGATTCTCTATCAGTCTCTCTCTTACTTTTAGCCAGCAACCCGAATGGGTCAGTCTGTCCAGGCTTTAGGTGTCTAAAGAACGCCCTTCTCTTGGTCCATACTTTTGGAGCATATGCCCTTTTCCTCCGGTGCGACAACCCAGTGGTTCGGCTGATGTGTTCTCTGCCATAGGACCTAGTCACTCAGTTCTCCAATCTCGGACCCCGATTCAAATTCAGCCCTTCTGTGGTACCGTCAAAGATCATTGCTACATCCCAACTCAGAACTTGCCAAACAGGTTTTCGGTTATTCTGGTTTTTCGGATTTATTGCGCCAAAGCTTCCATTACTAGATAGTGTGACCAAGATTACAGATTAAGATCTAACCGATAATCGACAACTGTTAACCGTATGCAGATCTATTTTTCAAAATCATTGTCCATGGGATTCAAACTTTAGACCTGCCGCTTGGGAGGGTGACAACTAACTAACTACACTAAGTCACCACACCTGCATAATAAAATTATAATAAAATATTGATTTTGTTTATTTAAATAAATTTCATATAGTAAAATAAATTATGTATTTTCGAATTAATTTAAAATATTGCAAATAAATCATAAATTAATACTTTTCAAATATATTTATATAATACATTTTTATTAAATTATGCTGAATTAATTCTATTACATTCAATTTAAATTGAAATAGCGCGATATTTCTGTCTTCTTATAATTAAAGTTTTGTTATTCATATTACTACTTATGTCAGTTTATAGTGTATGGTTGCGATTTGTTACGAAATATTGCGATTTAATTTGCGTAATATTGCGTAATTTATTATATATATTTTGTAATATTCCATAATTGATAGTTGTATTAGATTCTGCATTGTTGTGAAATTCTTGCGCAAGATTTCGGTCTGTAATAACTTATATAAGATTACATTTATATATTTTGCTGATGTATGATATAATTTTAGCTATTGACATAGCATTTTGGATAAAAGTCAATAATATGAATGACGATATTATTAAGATATGCTTAAACATTGCTATTACTATGATTTTTAATAATTGTTGTGATGTTCAATTGCAATGATGGGTCAAATAAAGATTTTAATCATAAGTTGATAAAATCCTAAATAGTTTATTTAAAATTTTATAAAAAATATAAATCGATAATGAAAATCTATAATAAAAGTATAATAACACTTGAATAATACTTTATTCATTTTATTATTAATAAAGTTTCGATAAGTCAGGGCAAATAAAAAGGTGGTTAGAGACAAAAAGTTTTTTGACTAAAATGGCAAACTCACTTCTCATTTTTTACTATTTAAAGAAATTTTTCACATAATAAACTACTTTACTCATCTTAATGACAAACTTGATTGATCAATTAAAATTGCTTTAAAATTTAATTCCCGATATATTTTTGGCATACTTTGATCCATTAATTTAGGCACTTAAAAATATCCTTATTCTGCTCTAATTTTACCATTTTATATGCAGATTATGCTCTAATAATTATATGAAATTAGCTCTAATATGCCAATATGCTATTGCATATGCTTTTGCAATATAATCTAATTTATGCACAGATTATGCTATCACAAATTGGCAATATCTCTACTCAGGTAGTTTAAATTTCACATGACCAAAATTTGATTTGTACCCCGGGTATATTGTATGGAAGAGGGTATATTATGTAAGAGATCTTTTGAAAAGAGAGTATACTAGGTGTATATTGGTAAATAGAAATAATATACTGGTACCAGTATAAATGATATTGTACAGTTTTTCGTTATCTTTAATTAATAGCAATAGGCTTTACATATAAGCTTTATATATAATATTATGTTTTCCTTATGGTTCTAAAAAGCTTTATATATCAGATATGGTTTTACTATATACTATATGTTTTTTTTCCACCAAAGAATTTTTTTTTTTATGATAAATTTTTTTTTTTCGCACTAAATTTTTTTTTGTTTATAAATTGTCATTATACTATATATAAACTTTTTAAATGTTTTTTTTGAAGTTGTGTTTTTTTATACTAAAATAAAAACATTCTTTAAGAATAAGCTTTCTAAAAAAAACAACTTATCTTTTAACTATAAAAAGTATTTTTTCAACCAATTTTAAAAAACGACAGTAGATAGCTCAAGAAAAACTTTTTGTTCTTTCTTATCTTGACAGAGTTCCTGGTGCCACTGTTCGTAGAACAGCTAGTAGATTTCAGCTCCAACCCAATCAAATTTAGAATTGAAAAAATAAGTGAGAAAAGCTATTATCAGCCTAGCCTTATATTAAACAGTTTAATGCTGGTTCTTGACTAAATTATCCTAATCTTGAAGCAGAACTTGCTGAATAGGTTAAAACTTTACATACTAATTTAAAACCAGTTAGTTGTAATATAGTACAAACAAAAGTGGCAGCACTAGCAAAGTTTCTACAATATATCTGTCAATATCCTAATATTGACAAATTTAAGTGAAGTAGCAAGTAACTCGAAGGTTTTTTATATCATTATAATTTAAGTAACCATCATAAAATGACTATTGCTTAAAAATTACCAGATGATTTAGAAGAACAGCAACTGGAATTTTTAAATTTCGTGCAATACCGTTGTATTTAACATGATTACCCATTATCATTAATAGGCAATATGGACAAAACTTCTCTTGCTTTCAACATGCCAAGTAATGTAACTATCAATAATAAAGGAAGCAAGACTATTAGTATTAGGACTTGTGATTATGAAAAATCATGTTTTATCATTGTACTTGCATATATAGCAGATAGTAGAAAATTATTACCAATGATTATTTTTAAACTAAAAAATATTCTATGACTTAATTTTCCACAAGGTGTAGTTATTAGAGCTAATAAAAGGATGGATGAACGAAGTGAAAATGAATTATTGGATAGACCAAATTTAGAACAATTGTATACCAGATTCTAATAATCTGCAATCCTTATTAGTACTAGATTTTTTTAAGGGTTATTTAGTTCTGTCTGTTAAAAGTAATTTTTATGAAAAAAACACCAATATCGCAGTTATTCCTGGAGGATTAACATTGAAAGTTTAACCACTTAATGTATCATATCTGCTAATCTGTGTAATACTCTAAAATTTATTTAATAGTAGATCATATATAATTTAAGACAAAACGTAATACAAGAACCGATAGGCGAATGCAAAGA